ACAGCTCTGTGTGGAAGCTTCAGTGACAGCTTTCTTTGAAGGAAGCAGGTCTGCTTGCTGCTGCTGTCATAGTGGTGGCCGAATTATTTTCAGGCCATTAGATGAGAAGAAGCAACACATTTGTGCAGCACTCTGCAAACTACTAGCACAGTAATTGTGTCATGATGCAGGACAAGTATCAGCAATCAACATCTTTCACCGTCCTTATTGAACTTAGTTTTCACTTACAAGCGAAGTTACACTCTACAGACATGGCACATGCTTGTTGCAAGGGCACCATTTAAGTTTGCTATGCGGCCATAGAGAAAGAATAGACTGTAGGGGAAACTCTGCTCCTTTCCGCGCCACGTTTGTGTCACCCCAGGAAGCAGCAGCGAACATCGTGACAGCGCCACCTACAGAACCACCGCCGAACTGCCACGCCGGAGTAGCAGACGCGAAAGCCCGCTCTTGTCGTCTGTTTGCATGCTTGCGCTTGCTGCTCAGTGAATCAGCTCAGATACACTCGCTAAACAAAACGGCAAAACGTGAGGACTAGCGAGACTTTGATAGTTGATTGATAAACTAGCAAGAGCACCTTGGGAGAGAGACCATACTGCGATGGTTTTGCGAAGCTGTCCGAACAACTAAACAGGTTCACATTCACTCTTTCAGCTTCACAAGCGAGGTTAGAAAAATAATTTCTGGGAACATGGTGTACAATATGCGCCAACCAAGAAAAAAAGCCTCCTATATTTAAAAAAAAAATGAATAATTAGATACAAAAAAAAGTTTTTCTCGTGCATCAGTGCTTTTTCGAAGTTTGTTTTATGTTGGAACTTTGTGAGAACCGCTCGTTCATGCCAAGCTACAACAACAAAACAGGTAAAGCTGAGAACTACTATTTTTTCGCAATGTAGCTTACCTGGAGGTTGGGAGGTCGGTAAAATGTTCGCCGAAGACGTCTGACTTGCGACGAGTATCCTCTATACCTTTGCTCGTTTGGTGCTCCTTTTATCGGTAATTTTTGGCGATACTTCGGCCAGTTCCTGGCTTAATTTCTGGGCACGAGTAAATAGAACCTTCATTCAAAAAGGCAAGGTGCCACTTCAGGGAGCCACAATGACTTTGGTTGGTCAAAGGTGTTTGGAAGTTTAAACAGTGCACTGTCACACCTGCTGGCCATTCCACTACAAAATTAGTTTTCCTAGAGGTAGTCACTTGCTTTCCATTGTTGACCACCTCTTTATATAGCTCTCACCCATTCTTGCTATCGTCCTTGCTGCCATCTTTGAAAGTTTGAACAATATTTTTTACACAGTATTGATTCACAGCTTGAAGCAAGTGGCAGTTTCCGCTCTTCTATTTAATCAGTTGTTGTCTGCTCAAACGTGCTTCAGTTATAATGTCTATCTTTCTTTTGGCAGAGTAGTTTTGTATGACACTATTATATTGAAGAATGTGCAAAATCTATCCTCAAGCTACACAATGAGTTATTTAAGGCGTCTGACAATGCCTGGCAAGAATTACAGATTGTCTGCTTTTTTATTTCTACCACCTACTTCCTTTCGTTGTCCGAAGAGAATCTCATCCAATATGTATAATTAAAAATGCTGGTACAAAGATGCTCTACTTGCCTCGTTTTGTCTTGGCAAACCATAGTAGCGAAAGAAAAAAATCACAGCATATCCATAAAGTGCATGATGATGAGTGGGGCAAAGCATCCCTCAGTTCGTTTGCGCTTCCGTCCATTCGTTCTTGCTTCTGCCCATCCGTGCCTCCATCTGTGTGCCTGTTCATCTGCCCGTCCATGCGTCTGTCCATCCATACGTCTGTGCATCCGTCCATCCGTCGGTGCATACGTTTGTTCGTGCATGTGTTCATCCGTCCGTTCATCTAATGAGCACTCCAAGTACTGCCTACTGCTATCTCGCATCCTTTCGTCATATATTCATCATATAAAAGTACTGCCATCCAGTGGACATTCTAAGGACTAAACGAGAGGTGGCACGGCGGTACTACATGAGCGGCATGTGTGCTTTCTTATGGCCTGCGCTTCGTGTCTAGTTCCCACCTTTCGTTGCAGCTAGTTTGTGGCACTGTGGCCCAACCCTCGCTAAACCTTGCTAAAACCAAGGAAGTTACGCCCAGCTAGTTTAACGTGGCAACATTTTCTGGTCAGATAGTGCTCAAAGTGCATTTTTTTGTTACTAGTTCTTTTTTTTTCAATAAGCATCAAATTCAAGGCAAATTTTATTGGAGGTTAGGTCATTGATGCTCATCTCAGTAGTTTATTTCGTCAGAAGCAACTATCTCTTTATTTATGAGTAACATGCGCCCGTTTGCTTCTCAATTCAAAAGAGTGCGCGCATGCCGCTCCTCTAGTGGGGCCGCTGAGATGGCTACCTACCTATTCGTGAGGACTAGTGCTTCATGTATTGCTTCATGTATGTGGCTGCACTATGCTGTCTGAGCACATTCGTTTCTTTTTTTTTTAACCAGCTTTCCTACACTACTACTACTACTACTACTACTACTACTACTACTACTACTACTACTACTACTACTACTACTACATACATCGCGGACGCATGACCCATAGCTTAAGGAGCCTTGCCCCTAGAACTTTCATAGGTGCATCCACCAGCATAGTGAATTGGCGAGTGGCAGATGTAGCAGGTGACACCCAGATTTTACTCGGGCGCCACCGGAAACCGCAGGCGTGCACGCTCTCCTCCCGCAATGGAAAACATATAGTTCTGCACGTCCCTGCAAGGATCGATGCCCACAGGTTCGCCAATCTCCTCTTCCAGGGTGACATTATCGCGGCACGCTCTCGTGGTGGCGACAGCCTGGAGTTTTCCCTCCTGTCTTTCTTGCTTCATGTATGTGGCTGCACTATGCTGTCTGAGCACATTCGTTTCTTTTTTTTTTTAACCAGCATCCCTGTTACTATGTTGGGTATAATTACTTTTTTAACAACTTACATCAGATTTGCTGCACTAAGTAATTGTGTGATCCCTAAGCCTAGTCGCCACATTTGACACCTTATGACTTGTTACGGAATGGTAGACAACATCCTCAACTTCAATCAGTCAGATTGTAAAGGACCCCTGACAGCAAAAGTCTTGCTTGCGAGTTTTATACAGTAATTTGTAACTTTGGATCTGGTAATGCCAAAATTATATTATAGGGGCTCTAACATGCCATATATTTGATGCTAGTGGCGCTGATTCAAAACGATCTTGCATCAATTTGAAACGCCCACCTAAATACTGTAAGACACTAGTGCCCTACAGTGGAACAGCACCTGAGACCACGTGCGTTTAAGCTTCTGTGATACTGAAACACACTGTTTTCAAATAGGGGGACCCACATGCAGTGAAGAATGAAATGTTTGCGCTGCTTTGAGCATGTCCCCCTCAGAAAAAAGAAAACCAATTTGGTACAAGCAGTCTAAATCATCTCAAGAGCAACGGAACAACAGAGCGAGAGGAGTGGTGACCAATAGTCCTCGCCAGGTGCGAGTCGGGGTGCGCGACCACAAATGTTCTTGATCTCTGCAACGTCACAAGGGATTCCTCTGTCCACGTAAAACCACAGAAAATCTTGATTGTACCTGAATATTTTCTAGGCAACATTTGCCACTAATAATCGCTCATAGGTGGCCGCACATGTAAGATTACGAAAGAACACAAGCATCTCAAGTTTCCAAATTTAACTGTCAGGGGTCCTTTAAGAAAAAGTAATAATGGTCTTTTTGGGGAAGCTACTTTTAAACTGCAGTGCTCTTTTTAGGGAAGCTGCGCTAGCTCGGGTTCGGCATTTTATGGTATTAGAGCTGTGGTGAACATGAAACAGCCACATTTCGTTTACTGGTGTGTACACAACTTTGTATGCTCTCGTCGCGAAACTTAGCAGTGTGAAATAAATTTTGGTATTTTGCCACACACTGTGTGACCTTCTTAACTTTTCCTCAGGCAGTAGTGTGAGCCATCATTTGCCCTCGTCTTTTAAGTCATGCTCTTGCTTGAGCACTCCACTTTTAAATGCTGGAGGCATGTGTCACTGCAAAATTAAGTGAAAATGAATACTGATGTGCTAAACTTTTTAAATATAAATTTCGTTTTTAATTGGAATGTTTGTTTCTTGCATGGCACATAAGCTAAAAAAAAAAAAAACAGATGGAGAGTTATGCTGTATGGTTTCAGAAAGACATGTCAACCTATTTTCAGCCCCATTTTCGTTTTCTGATATCTGCACTGCTTGTGAAGTAGTTGTGACATGTAATGGCTGTGTATAATCCCCATGTATTGAAACGCAACATCAATTTTTTGCGTATAACAACTGCCTTGAGCGATTGCTCGACATGACCACGTCATGTTGCTACGGGTCTGGTCACTAAACGTGATGTTAGCCCTGATGTAAATGTCTGCCGTGTCCACATCTGGGCCTCGCTTTCCAGGACTGAACGACACCTTCCAGCAGTTAGGGCTTTGATGTGGTGTGCCCAAGAGCACACACAACCTAATGGGCATGCTGACCTGCTTTGCATGAGTGACAACATTGAAAAGTGTGCCGGTTTAACCAATGAAGCTTGCTTTCTCAGGGGGCTTTTGGCAACTTGATTCGAAAATATGAAACATTTAGACTGATGACACATGCCAGGGCCGCTAGCTGTTGCCCCGCAGGGCAAAGTCAGCTGCTCACACGCTTTACACAGACATGGACATGGCTGTTCAAGTCAAAACTGCACCACTATGATGGGAACTGAAGGCTAGCCCTAAAAATTTGCAGCACTGTACCCGCTGGACCTTGGAAGCAAGCCACTGGAGTGTACAGTGCATGAGTTTTCTGTGCTTGTGTCAGGTGGTGTCACTCTGCAATCGGTCTAACTGCAACGATGCCTCTTGGACAACTGGTCTTTTTAATTTTTGTGGTTTTGCCCTGTCCTGTTGTCAATGAGTGTTAATCGGGAGATGGCAGATGTGAACAAGATGCTCTTTCCCCTACATCTGCAGCTTCTGCCCGACGGACACGAAATTCACCACTTGTTCCGATGACGGAACAGTGCGTGTCTGGGACTTCCTGCGCTGCTTTGAGGAGAAGATCCTCCGAGGTGAGCCCTTTTATGCCGTGCTCGAAATTTGTTCTTTTTTTGTTGCTTAAAGGGGCCCTGCGACACAAATTAAGTTTTAATCGCTTCTACTTCATCTGTGGAATAACCGATATTGTTGCACCAGTGGCAATGCCAAAGAAAAAAACCTGTTATTTTTATAATTTTGATAAAGAAACCACATTGTCTTTCAGAACAGAGTGACACACAGCGGCTATTTTTGGGATCAGAAGTGGTGTTTCAGCATGTGGGAGTGACAGCTTTGGCTGTGCGTTTTGATTGGTTCAATGCGAAAGCTCCCACTTAAAAATCATAAGGTCTCAGGTAGGCAACCCTATTCTGCACTCAAAATTATGAAAGCACTCTTTAAACTTCATCAAATACAAAAGGTTTTTTTGTTATTAATTATGAAAATGTAAAAACAAACGCAAATGTATTGTGCGGCGAACGCCTCACGGAGAACTCAGGGCACGTCGACACGAGGTACGCAGCAGCTGGTAGCCAAGCAGGAACTGCTTTATTATATACAGTGCCATTCATATATACACATGGTAGAGGCCCGTGAGGGTGAAAATACTTTACATGAAACCAAAACTGGCAACCATGAACAGAAACTGAAACACACCGCATCATCCCCCCCTAGAATGAAAAGGACATCTGGCTCTGAGACCCCTATACAATGATTATTGGTGCATAAGTAACTTTTATAGCCTTATATAATTTTAGAAGAATGTTATAACTAGAGGCGAGATTTTTAGACACAGAAAATTTGTTTTAGATGCCAAAGACAGGCAGGTAAAACACTATTTTAGGCCCTCAAAATCATAATTAGAGGCACAACAAATTTCTAGAAAAATTGAAATATTCCCAAAACAACGACGTTGGTGACTTGTATCTATAGCAAGACGGAAAAAAATAATATTCAAGATAGCAGAAACGTACCAACGATTGAACATAGGCATGCATTTTTCACGCAATTCGCAGTATGCGGTCTTTTGTTTTATCGTTCAGCATTGTGCATCAAGTGACCACCATTCAATTAACACTCTCCTGGGTCTCTTTTGTTTTGTTGTGGCTCAAGGAGCAAATGACTAGGCCACCGATACCTCAGAAGAGAGGCAAGCTAGGTCTAATCGCGTAGGACCAATTTCTCCCCTATCTGTGAACACCTTAAAGGGCCCCCCACTAGGTTTGAGCATTTCGAGCTGACAAGCATAACAGTGCACTGGGCACTTCGGTTCATTCCTGTTAAGATTTGCAAAATTACATGTCGCAGAGAAATGCTCAGTTTCTAATGAATGCCACTTGCTCTTCTCGCGGGCGTGCGCCCCAAGATCTAAGGAGTGACCTACCGCATGGAATGGTCCTGTTTTTACGTCGCACCTTTACGTTAACATTGGTGGGCTGGCATTGCATACTGTACGCTCTTCATCAGAGTTTTGTTAAATGCTAGCTATAGCTAGAAAAACAGACAAAAAATGTCCCGTCTCCTTATTACATCCTACATCTTAATTATCACCTCATTAAGAGCATTGCACTTGACATTACTTGGCATGTACAATTTGTGTGTTCTGTTGTGTAGCATAAATGAGGAGTTCTTTGCCTTGGGCTAGCTGCTTCATATCATTTTGAAAGGGAAGCGCAAAGACAAAGGGAAAACAAAGACAGCACTCTTTGTCTTTATGTCTTTCTTTTCCCTGTGTCTGTGCATTGCCCTTTCAAAATCAGTAAGATGAATGAACGCTGAGAAAAAATAATAAAATATGCAAACGGAATCTCAGCTTGTTATTATCTTTATTTTTCTTTCGAATAGCTTCGACATGCGATTCTTTATAATCAGCCCTCGTTTAGCGTCCCCTTCGGTGGACCATTCGCTATAGGGTGCTTTGCTGCTGACCCGAATGCCGCGTGTTCGATTGTGGCCGCAGCGGTCACATCTAGATTGATGCGAAAAAGTAGATGCCCTTGTACTGTGCAATGTCAACGCACGTTAAAGAACACCAGTTGGTCAAAATTTGCGGGGACCTCCAACAGCGTCCCTCATATTCATATCGTGTTTTTTTAATGTAAAACCACACATACTACTACTACTACTACTACTACTACTACTACTACTACTACTACTACTACTACTACTACTACTACTATTACTACTACTACTGTTACTAATACTACCCAGTTCACTTGTGTTCGTCTTCTACTCGTTCCCGCATCATGCCTTGGCCAATCCTGACAATGCTTAGCTTGTGTTTGGTACGTCGCCTCTGACCGCAGTTTCAGCGGTGCGACGTGGTGTATCGCGGTCGCAATACATGATCCTTGCCAGCCTCTCCTAAAGTACACGCACTGACTGATTCATCCCACAGAAACTGGCAATACACAACAGAGAACGTCGAAACGACACAACATCGATGACACAAGTAGACTGAGGCACATTATGTGCGTGTGACCTAGCTTAGCGCGTGTTATTCCTTGTGCGTATGCATCATGTGATTCTCCAGCCCTGATACCAAAGAGAACAGGGAAGGAATGAGGCTCGCGATGGCTACATGGGATGAGAGGCAAGGGATTCAAGCTTGCTTCTTCGCATCATGCTGTGATGGCTCGTAGCGAACCATTTTGAAAAATCACCATGGTAAAACACTCTTCATTGGGCACGCAAGAACTTATCGTGTATAACTACAACATATTATGTCACCTAGAGAGAGAGACGCTTAAAAAGTAAATTACAAAAAAAAGTCGCTTGCACATCGAATTTTTTACCTGAAGGCACTTTAGAAGATGGGTTACAACGACAAAGAAAACACGCCTTAATTGACACAACACACTTTGTTCTCTATGTAAGCCATTTCATTCTGTCATGGGACTGACAAAAAACGAATTATTAGAAAGATCTATCTGATATGACATTATAAAATCTTAATTACCATCGGGCGAAGAGAACTACTTGGGTACATTCATTTTCGAATGTCAGTTTAGCATGAAATGCTTGACATAGGAGCTTTAACCGCAGTTTAATTGGATGCGATGACATTATTTCCTATCCTAGTTAATTTTTTACATTCTTACAGCTGTCATTTTTGAGTAACGGCTTAGGACAAACCTTGAAGCGCTGTTCTGTATTTTTTTATGTTTGTCACTTAAAGACATATGGCAACAGATCTCATATGGAACAAGCATATTCAGGCATACGGTGAACGTATGCTAAATACACCATTGATTGTAAACATGCCGGCGCCTGTCTCAGGCTTTGCTGTAAAAGTATAACGATTTGGTGACCTTCGCCACCACTGAATCAACAAGACAATTCCAATAGTGGTCTCCATGTTTTTTCATTCGTTCTCCAGCTACCTGTGGCTGCCCAGAAAAACCTGCTCTTCCTTTTCCACCACAACACCCAGGTTTTGAGGGGGGTTCTTCAGTTTCTTCAGGGCACAGGTCAAGTATTTGTAGAAGGTGGTTGCCACGTCCTCGGCCATAGACGCCACTTTTGTTTTCTTACCCAATCTTTAATACTCTTTCCTCCTTTCCCTGCAGACGCTGAGGCGTTCTTTTACTTATAGGGCTGTAGGAATAGCGTGTTTTGCACTCCTCATGCTCCTCCTCCAATCGCTTGCAGCATGTTAGCTTTGTCTTTGTTGAACCTTATATTGTTTGGAAATATCAATGCTGCCTTTTTTACATTAATAACGCTTTCACACTACGCTCTAAAACAAAAATTGGGCTTGAATAGTTCTCATATGCGCACTCATTTAGAAAATAGGCATTTATATACTTATAGGCATTTAGGGACGAACACCCAAAAATGGGCATTTATAGGCACTATAAAAACACCATAAAAGCCCTTCTTAACCTGTAATTCATGCTCATATATCATAATATCATGATGGGAATGCAAGAAACAAAATAGGCATTTACCTATAACCCGGTCTCTAGTTATGACACATAGAACTTCTGTATTTACAACCTCAACATCCCCCCTCCTTTTGTTGTGAATTAACCAATTGAAGAAAGTAGAAGCTGCATGAGAAGGAGAAGAAAAAACAGCCCACCATGGCTGAAAGCATTTATACAAACAACATACACAAAAATCACAGCATACCAGTCAATTCCTTATAACCTTATGCAATAAATTAATGTACAGCATACACACAACAATGCACACGTATGGTACAGATTCCAACATACGCGTAAGAAAGAATTTAGGACACGAAGTCCTTAAACCAGGACGGTTTCGTACGATATGCTTAGAACGCCGAAGGTCATCGCACTCTGAAGTCCTCCCTTGCAGAGCAGCAAGTTCAGTATGTGAGGATGAGCCTACTGGCTCGCATACGCGCTGCTCAGGAATAGCTGAGAACGTACAGGAATAACTCGAGTCCGACGGCTTGCTTAAGCTCCCCTCAGTTACAGCTGGAGACGCAGAACACTGACGCGAAACATAGGAACCTGAAGGTTCGGAAGCATGTCCATTAGTGTTAGGAAGGATGCTGGCATGGGAACTGGGCAACTATTGAGACAAAGCCTGAGAAGAGTCCGAGGACTCTTCTCAGGCTCCGTTCACGGCAAAACTTCATGATGGCTGGGCACCACAGCCGGATTTGAAACTGGTGCCTGAATACTATTTCCCCCAGGGAAAGATGATGATGATGCAGGAATAGGGATAGAAACCAATCATGAAACCGAGGCAGAGTATTGCGACTGGTTCTGCAAAGGTATTGAAGAGGGCAAGCGTGAAGGTGGTTCCCGTTCGGAATGGGCGATTACAAGTTTAGAAGCATTCCAAACCGATCCATCACTGAGCTTAAATGCTTGGGATTCCACTGTAGACATAACAGTAAACGCACCTCTATACTTGTGTTTTTTTCCTGGAACACATACTTTGACTCCTTGGCCAACCTGAATTATTGGAGGTTCGGCTCCTCACTTCTGATCGACATAATTCTTCATGTACTTCTGCCTATGAAATACTCGCGTCCTTATGGTGTTGTCCGAAAATGACC